CAGTTATCATATTAAAAAACGGAAAACATTTGCTTCCACCAAATGGCAAAATGTGTAGAATTGCAGGAAATTAGCTGTAAAACTGCAAATATTTCTCTCCTCCCCGTGGTAAAATTAGTAGAATTGCAGCAAACTTGCTTTAAAACGGCAACATTTTCTCTACGCCCCATTGCAAAATGTGAAGAATTGCAGGAAATTAAATGTTTCTCTTCGCTGTCACGAGGGGGGCTGCTAAAATGTTTTGCTCGCAAGGTGGGGGGTGGTAAATATATGGATGTTGGTACGCAGACCCACGAGCCAGTGCGGCCCCTCATGATGTGTTCCGTTTTTTGGTGGCCCCACTCCCATCAAAGTTGCCCATACCTGGATCTAGCAGCAACTTCACCCTACTCCAAATATTCCCACCAAGGTAATACAACGTCCACATTAGGGGCTGATGATGATGCTGGTGCCCATTTAAGACCGTACAGCCCGTTAATTCACCCTGGCCTTTCCCACAGCAGAACTCTCTCCTCTGTAGCAGCAGGCTAGTGGAATGGTGGCAGTCCTATGACTATATTCTATGGCCCAACTCCAACACACAAGTTTTCCATGCTTTCCATATACTCTAGCCTACTTTGCATCTCTCTCTCTCTCTTTCTCTCGCTCTCGCACTCGCTCTCTCTCTTTGTCCTCTCTCGTTCAGCTCTGGGGTAGTGGAGGAGAGTTGTTCCATCTCTTTTATATGTGGCTGGCTGTGCTATCCAGCACACCTGGCATCAAGTACTATTTGAAATAATTTCAAATACTTTATCTGGGCTTGATTGAGCTTGCGCGTCGCAATGGAACCAATAGAAGGATCCCAAAACTCCAAACCCCGCCCACCTAGTATTTGAACCCAGGTCTTGTAGTGTCCAGAGCCAGACACCAGGCCTTCAGGCCCAGCAGTGGAACACACACACAGCAGGGACTATTAATCAGGGATCTGGAGCAGAGAGGGAGGGAGGGGGAGGAGACCAGAGCTATGAAAACGCACACACATTGGCCACGCATTCGTCATAAAGGCATGCATACAACACATGAGATGGATTACCGTAATGACCCAATTTGTGTGAGCCCCCGCTCCAGATGAGTACACACACACAACGTTCATGGCTTGGTTTTCATCCTCCACTGAAACAGAGTAGATTGATGAATGCTGCATGCTTTCATCCAGTCAACCAACAGGTTGACAGCACACTGCATTACAAAACAAATTCACATAACTCACTGCAAACGTCTCACTCCTAAAGAAAGCCTTAAATAGAGTCCCCCTTCACAACTAACTAAAAGCACCAGCACCGAGCAGTACAGACCAGCACCGAGCAGTACAGACCAGCACCGAGCAGTACAGACCAGCACCGAGCAGTACAGACCAGCACCGAGCAGTACAGACCAGCACCGAGCAGTACAGACCAGCACCGAGCAGTACAGACCAGCACCGAGCAGTACAGACCAGCACCGAGCAGTACAGACCAGCACCGAGCAGTACAGACCAGCACCGAGCAGTACAGACCAGCACCGAGCAGTACAGAGCAGCACCGAGCAGTACAGATCAGTGTGAACATACAGGACTGGTTCTGCGTCCCAAATGTGTCTCTATTGGGCCCTGGTCAAAAGAAGTGCACCATATAGGGAATAGGGTGCCGTTTGGGATGCAGAATATGTTTCTGTGTCCACTCGGGGGGGATGACCTTGTCTCTGATTCGTGTCACAGCCCTGTGTTCCCCAGGGGAATTCTGGGATTAACATGACTCTACCGAGAAGCTGATGCTGCCAGTGAATTTCCATATAATTGGCAGAGTTCCAGAACCCCCTCCTCCTCTCATCCCCCTCCTCTCCTTTGACTGTGAACAGAGCTCATTATAGGGGACCCAGAATAACTCCAGGAAGAGCCAAAATAGCAGCTCTCCCTCAAACGCCACGGCCGAGTTAATGTATTTTTGGAAGTCTCACATGACATCAAAAGTGTGTGTGTGTGTGTGCGTGTTTTCCCGTCTTGTGAAATATACTGAAAGATTGGTCTTACTGGAGTAGAGAATCTGAAACGGAGGAACATGAGGCAATGCTCTGTTCACATCACACAGGCTGCGTCCCAAATAGAACCCTATTCCCTATGTAGTGCACTACTTTTGATCTGGGAATCAAGCCAAATTCCAATGTTCTTGAGTTCTGGTGAACATAAACATCCTGATGATCCTCAGTCTTCTTAATGTTGATGAGTTACTGTATTCTCCATCTCTCTGTGTCTCCAGGTAACTACCCTAGGCCCCCTAACTACGGCGGCACCCCCAGTGCCAACTACAGCGGCCCCGGCCCTGGCATGAGCAACAGCCTGGGCATGAACGCCAGTAGCCCCATGCACGGCCAGGGTCCTGGGCAGCCCTGCGGCTCCATGCCCGCTGGGCGAGGCCTGGGTCCTGGGGCCAACGGGCGCCCTTACCTCGGTACCAACACCATGGCCCCCACCTCTCCCAGCATGCCGCAGCCTGCCGGACAGGGCCAGGGCATGAGACCGCCCCTGCCCAATGTTAACCGCAAGCCGAGCCAAGAGGCAGGCCCGGGCCCTGGCGCCAACGCCATGCAGGGTCCCAACGCTGGTCCCAACCCTTCTGCACAGGGCAGGTGAGTCAGGACAAAGGCCACAGAAGGGATATAGGATGCGTCCCAAATGGCATCCTACCCCCTATATACTGTACTACTTTTTGACCAGGGCCCATAGAGATCTGGTCAAAAGGAGTGCGCTAGCATTTTGGGAATGGGTGCCGTTTGGGATGCAACCACGGGTCATTCTTTCATATAAGTTCTTCACATTCACTCCTCCACACCCCACATATCCTCATTCAGTCATCATCCACACACTAAGGTTATGAGGTGTGTGCTAGACGCAGCAGAGTTTGTCCTCATGTCTCTGTGTGAGTTTGGGACTTCTTCTCTCTCCTCCCTCACTCCAGGCCTCCCTATGCGCGCGCCCCTGCCTACCCCAGCCAGTCTTGGCCTGGGGCGCACCCTCCCCTCTCTCCCACCCCATCCCCAACACATCCCACATCCTCACTCCCATCACTCTCCCTCCCTCCCCACATCCTCAACCCCATCACTCTCTCTCCCCTCACCCTCAACCCAATCACTCTCCCTCCCCTTACTCTCAACCCCATCACTCTCCCTCCCCTCACTCTCAACCCCATCATCATCCTCAACAACCCCATCACTCTCCCCCTCACCTCACATACTCTCCCTCCCCATCCCCCACCTCAACCCCACACTCTCCCCCCTCACTCTCACCCACACCCACCACACCTCCCTTCAACCCTCACTCTCACCACAAACCCATCCCTCCTCAACTCCAACCACCATCACTATTACTCTCCCTCAACCCTCACATCCTCATACACTCTCCCTCCCCGCACCCTCAAACCCCATCACTCTCCCTCCCCTCATCCCCAACCCCTCACTCTCCCTCACCCAGTCCCCCCACCATTTTTTGCAAATGTATTGAAAATGAAATCCAGAAATAGCTCATTTACATAAGTATTCACACCCCTGAGTCAATACATGTTAGAATCACTTTGGCAGCGATTACAGCTGTGAGTCTTTCTGAGTAAGAACTTTGCACACCTGGATTGTACAATATTTCCCCATTATTCATTCAGAATTCTTCAAGCTCTGTCAAATTGGTTGTTGATCGTTGCTAGACAACCATTTTCAAGTCTTGCCATAGATTTTCAAGCAGATTTAAGTCAAAACTGTAACTCGGCCACTCAGGAACATTCACTGTCTTGTTGGTAAGCAACTCCAGTGTAGATTTGGCCTTGTGTTTTAGGTTATTGTCCTGCTGAAAGGCTAATTAATCTCTCAGTGTCTGGTGGAAAGCAGACTGAACCAGGTTTTCCTCTAGGATTTTGCCTGTGCTAAGGTCCATTCCGTTTATTTTTTATCCTGAAAAACTCCCCAGTCCTAAACAATTACAAGCAAACCCATAACATGATGCAGCCACCACTATGCTTGAAAAGAGTGGTACTCAGTAATGTGTTATTTTGGATTTGCCCCAAACTTATAAAACTTTGTATTCAAGACAAAAAGTTAACTGCTTTGCCAATTTTTTTTGCAGTATTGCTTTTGTGCCTTGTTGCAAACAGGATGCATGTTTTGGAATATTTGTATTCTGTACAAGCTTCCTTTTTTTCACTCTGTCAATTAGGTTAGTATTGTGGAGTAACTACAATGTTGTTGATCCATCCTCAGTTTTCTCCTATCACAGCCATTAAACACTGTAACTGTTTTAAATTCACCATTGGCCTCATGGTGAAATTCTTGAGCGGTTTCCTTCCTCTCCGCCAAGCGGGTTAGGAAGGACGCCTGTATCTTTGTAGTGACTGGGTGTATTTTTTACCCTCTGTGTGTCGTTCAGCGCCCAGGCAGTCTGGCTGGGGGTGTGAAAATAGTATAAATGGTGTTACTTTTCACTCGGTTCCCCAGCCTTTTGTTGTGGATATTATTTCCCCCAGGATTGAATACGTCTTGAATGTTTCTTCTCTCTCCTGTTTTAACAGTGGTATGTGTTCGAGAAAAGCTGCTGATGCACTGCTTTTGATGACCAACATGCATTATTCATATTGTCTCTCACTCACAACTAAAATCTATCTATATCTCCGTCTGTCCATCAGTTGAACTTGAATGTACTGTATAACAGCGGTGGCTGGTGGCGTTTTAAACCGGAGGACAGGCTCATAGTAATGGCTGGACCAGAATGAATATGGTTTCCCTGTGTTTGATAAGGTTCCATTCATGTGTTTGATAAGGTTCCATTCGTGTGTTTGATAAGGTTCCATTCATTCCATTCCAGCCATTACTATGAGCCTGTCCTCCCCTCACCAGCCTCCACTGATAGTTGAATGTACTGTATGAAAATGCCTTTGGTAATAACGTTATGTATTACGGTGATGGTTTATGACTAAGCAAAGCTCTTGCTCTTTGGTTTTCAGGCAGGGAATGACCCCCATGCCCCACCACCACCCAGGCATGAGCCCCAGAGGGATGGGCCCCAGCCCTGGTGGCCCCTACAGCCAGCAGCCAGGGGCCACCAGCTCTGGGAGGATGACCCCACAGGGACCCCACCCCCTCTATAACGCACCATCAGGTACCTACCTACTCTGCACTCTCTGTCCATGTCTATCAAACAGTCACAAGCCCTAGTATAACAGTGAACAAGAGGCTGAACTCTTTCCCCCCTCCCTCCACAGAGCCCATGCATATGGGAGGAGAGGGCATGGTGGGTCCCACTGACCCCAAACAGAGACCACCAGAGCAACACAGGGAGAGCAACACTGCTGGTCCTGCCGCCGAGCCACCACCTAAACCCAAGGTATGAGCGACAGCTCTAACAGACTCTCCCCCCCCCCCCCGGCCAGTACCGCTCAAAGCATGTCCTAATAACGCATGTTGATGGAAGAGGAATCTGAATGTGGCAAAGCTCAGCAAACGCAGCATCTAACGAGGCAGCAGACAAAAAGGAATACAGAGAATTTAGAAAAACATCCTCTGTTTGGCGTCATGGTGAGGATTTTCTAAAGGAAGACGTCGCTTTCTCTATCTCTATTTACCATAGCATCCTCTGTAACTACTGGGAGTGAGGGTTCCAATATAAATGCTCCTTTATAGCAGTGCTATTTTATAGTAAGTTCTTCACAATTATTACCCCACTCATGTCTGTCTGTCTTTTTACTGATTTGGATGTGTGATAGACACAGAAAGGCCCGCTAAAATAACCCCTCTCCCATCGACTGCAAAGAACTTGTTACTGTTCACTATGCTCTCTCATTAACTCCTATTTCTCTCGTCAGAGCTTCGGTTCGTTTTTTTTTGTATTTTTCTCGTTTTGTTTCCCTCCCTCCCTCCCTCGTGTTTCAAGTTCCCCCTCGCTTGGTTTGGTTCTGCACGCCTCTGTATTGTTGGTTCCAGACTGAGTGAACAACCTTTCTCCCTCTGCGTTCATTTGCGTCTCTTCACCTCATTACCGGCTCGTGAGAAAAGCCTCTTGATCACAAACTGAAGATGTCTGTCAGCCCAACTGATCTGAGAGGAACTACTATTATATCGGCTCTCTCTGTCTACTTAATGATCACTCCTCATATATTTGGCTGCTTTGTGCATTTCTGCCGTCATGGCAACAGCAGTAGCTAGCATGGCTTCATGCTTCCACTTGTGACAACATGAGTACTAGTATTAATGGCTGTGGCCTTTGCTGCTGAACCTCTTCCCATTCGCCTGTTTGGCTGCCTGCCCTAGAATGCCGTTGCTCAATCCGTCTGTATGGCTCCTCTCGCCGTGTAGTTTCCACTGTGTGCTTTTCCAATCATGTGTTGAATGTTTTGAAGCCAGTCAAACCTGCCTGAAAGACTCCAGGGGAGCTCTGAACAGAGCCATACGAAGTGTGTGTGACTAGGAGTGGGTCATCAGGGAGACATTAGCTGCAGAGATCTTAGTCCTAGGATGTATTTGAGGACAGGTTTTGCTGTTTGTATGCTTTCTGCATGTGTGTGTGACTGTTTTTGAGAAAGCGAGAGAGAGAGAGAGAGAGAGAGAGAGACAGAAAAGGTTAAAGTCAGACTGAAATCTCTTAACTCCTGCCATCTCTCATCACGTGGCCCTGTTGTGTGTGAATGTGTACGTACGTGTGTTTTCTTTTTGTCCTATCTATTCCCCGTCACAGGACAGCTCCTCTCAGTGTATGTCCCAGCCCCACACCCCCTGTCCCCTGTCCCCCAGCCCTGCTAGTCTGTCCTCTTGTCACGGGGTAGAGGACATCAGCGATAGCATTAGCCGCCACCCCGCTGTTGCTGTGGCCTGGCCAAAGACGCCCACCAGCCCTGTAAGTGCCACAAGCACTTGTTTTTCGCTTTTGTTACTTTTTTTATTTGTTGGATTGGTTATGTATTTAGCTTTTTGTTTCGTTTTTTACAGCTTGTTGTTTTTTAATATCTGAAATGTGATTGTGGTGATGTTGTTGGATGACGTTTATGACCGAGACGTTCTAACACTATTTTCTCCTATCTCTCTCCCATACGGTGCTGGTAACCTGGCAGTCCTGCTGCACCACAATGTCTCAAATGCTTCTCTGTTTGTATTGGTTGTTATTGATGACTGAGTGTGTTAAAGGGATACTTCGGGGCCCTTTATCTACTTCCCCAGAGTCAGATGAACTCATGGATACCATTTTTATGTCTCTGTGTCCAGTATGAAGGAAGTTAGAGGTAGTTTTGCGAGCCAATGCTAACTTGCGTTAGCGCAATGACTGGATGTCTATGGTATCTACTAGCATGTTATCAGTTACATCGACTTTGTCATTGCGCTAACACTATACTGAACAAAAATATAAACGCAATATTCAATAATTTCTACGATTTTACTGAGTTACAGTTCATATGAGGAAATCAGTCAATTGAAATAAATGTATTTAGGCCCTAATCTATGGATTTCACGACTGGGAATACAGATATGCATCTGTTGGTCACAGATATCCCAAAGAAAATGGGCCTCGCAAATGTTAGTTGTCCGTAGCTTATGCCTGCCCATACCATAACCCAACCGCCACCATGGGGCACTCTGTTCACAATGTTGACGTCAGCAAACCGCTCGCTCACACGATGCCATTCACGTGGTCTGCAGTTGTGAGGCCTTTTGGACGTACTGCTAAGTTCTCTAAAATGACAGGAAGCTTATGGTAGAGAAATTAACATTACATTCTCTGGCAACAGCTCTGGTGGACATTCCTGCAGTCAGCATGCCAATTGCAGGCTCTCTCAAAACTTGAGACATTTGTGGCATTGTGTTGTGTGACAAAACTGCACATTGTAGAGTGGTCTTTTATTGTCTCCAGCACAAGGGGCACAGGTGTAATGATCATGCTGTTTAATCAGCTTCTTGATATGCCACAACTGTCAGGTGGATGGATTATCTTGGCAAAGGAGAAATGCTCACTAACAGGGATGTAAACAAATTTGTGCAGAACATTTGAGAGACATTAGCTTTTTGTGCGTTCTGGGATCTTTTATTTCATGGGACCAACATTTACATGTGTTTTATATTTTTGTTTAGTGTTGTTAGCAATTGTGCTAAATCTAGTTAGCAAATTCCTTCAAACCGCACATAAAAGAGACAAATTCATGGATACCATTTTTATATCTGACTCTAGGGAAGTAGATTCAGGGCTTCATTGCCAAAATCCTGAATTATCAGTTTAATGAGAAAGTCCTCCAATCCTGTGAGTGTACCTGTATCACATGGTACTCTGTGTCTGTAGACAGCAGTGGGACCTACCTGACTGTATAGCTGCCATTAAACTGGGCTTGAATGCAACAAGTCATATAATAATCTACAGTTGGATGTTGAACATGTTTTTGTCTACATGACCGTACTCATGACCGTGCTCATGACCGTACTCATGACCGTACTCATGACCGTGCTCATGACCGTACTCATGACCGTGCTCCATAAGCAATGACAACAGTAGTTGCCCTGACTGACCCCTCCCCCTCTACTCTATGCCCTGCCCCTTTAGAAGCCCAGCCCGGCCACCATGACCAATGAGAAGATCCGCATCCTGTACGAGATGGGCGGAGAGCCCGAGAGGCGGGTGTGGGTGGACCGTTACCTGGCCTTCATGGAGGAGAGGGGCACGCCCGTACCCATGCTGCCTGCCGTGGGCAGGAAGCCCCTGGATCTGTGCCGCCTCTACCTGTGTGTTCGAGAGATAGGAGGCCTGGCCATGGTGAGTCTCAGTGGGACCTGTGTGACGGAGTCTGGTGTAGGGGTCAAAGCTCCCACCTCTGCAACACATTTTGTTTTAAAAGAACTACTTTGACAGCTGGCTATTTCCCTCATTTGAAATCCAGGCCTATCCTCTAACAAAATAACGAAGGTAAAATGTAGACCCTGGTGTGCTGCCTGGTCCAATCCCGGTGTCCGTCTTCTTAATCTAACTCCACTACGGCCCTTGCTGTCTACCCAGTCCCAGTGCTACCCCATCATATACGGTTTCATACCCAGCTCTGGTTGCTCAGGAGTCTCCTGTCGGCCATATCTCCCCCTGCAGGTGAACAAGAGCAAGAAGTGGAGAGAGCTGTCCACCCACCTCAACGTGGGCACGTCCAGCAGCTCCGCCAGCTCTCTGAAGAAGCAGTACATCCAGTACCTCTTTGCCTACGAGTGCAGGGTGGAGCGGGGAGAGGAGCCGCCGCTGGAGATCCCGGGGGAAACCAAGAAACAGGCCCAGGCTAAGATCCAGCCGCCCTCACCGGGTGAGTAAAACACTGGGGACTGTAGCTTCCTAGCTGAGCTGCACGCTATGCAGGGTTGGGGTCACTAGAGGTATAATCTACCTGCTGTGGTTGACAAATGTACACCTATCCGTAGCCATTATAAACAGGCATGAACAGGATAATATCCATATATCCACAGACAGACCCATACACTGTGTGTAAAGCATGTCCCCAATCATCCAGCCCTTCATCTATATCGGGACTCCTGAGTGGCGCAGTGGTCTAAGGCACTGCATCGCAGTGCTAACTGTGCCACTAGAGATCCTGGTTCGAATCCAGGCTCTGTCGCAGCCGGCCGCGACCGGGAGACTCATGGGCGGCGCACAATTGGCCCAGCGTCGACCAGGGTAGGGGAGGGAATGGCCGGCAGGGATGTAGCTCAGTTGATAGAGCATGGGGGGCCAGTATAAAAAAATATGTATTCACTAACTGTAAGTCGCTCTGGATAAGAGCGTCTGCTAAATGACTAAAATGTAAATGTAAATGTATCCATCTCCATGCTCCCTGGGCTGGGCTGGCTGCTCCCTCCCAGCATATGGGCCTATTTCTGTCTGACAGGTGATTGTGTCACAGGGAGGGAGAGAGAGAGAGAGCTGTCAGAGAGAGCTGTCAGATGGCCCGTAGTAGGATTCCCTCCCCTCAGGCGAGATGGCTGATGTCAGAGAGAGAGGGAGCGGGGAAGAGAACGCGTGAGGGAGAGATACAGAGTGCGAGTTAGACTGTGGGAGAGAGAGAGCTGTCAAGCAGCGGGGGAAGGGATTCCCCCTAGAGAAGCTGAGTAGGGGAGGAGTGTGGCGTGGCTGTCTGGGATATAAACAACCATGACCTTAGTCTGACCTAGTTTCCCACAGACACACAGACCAGTGGGGCAGTAGTTTTTTTTCTCTCGCTCTCGCTCTCGCTCTCTGTCTCTGTCTGTCTCTGTCTCTGTCTCTCTCTCTCTCTCTCTGTTCTCTCTCTCATGTCTCTCTCTCTGTCTCTCTCTCTCGTCTCTCTCTCTGTCTCTTCTCTGTCTCTCTCTCTCTCTTCTCTCTGTCGTCTCTCTCTCTCTCTCTCTCTCTCTCTCTCTCTCTCTGTCTCTCGTCATCTCTTCTCTCTCTCTCTGTCTCTCTGTATGGTTACGTGAGGTCACATGCTCAGAGAAGGAGAGACGGCTAGAGAGCGAGACGGAGCGTGTGACTGAACCACTTCATTGTTTGCTTTTGGAGTTGAAACATGGCGGCTTGGCTGGCAGAGGATCAGGCACCAGAGAATCTCTCTCATTTTACAACACTTCACATTCTTACTACTTACTGCCTGCCCTGGCCAATTCTTCCTCACACCCCTCTCTCCTCTCTCTGGCTCCCGCTCTCCCCTCTCTACTCTGGCTTCCCCCCTTTCTCTCTCTCTCTCTGGCTCCCTCTCTCTCTCTCTCTCTCTGGGCCTCCGCTCTCTCGCTCTCTCTCTCTGGCTTCCCCTCTCTCTCTCTCTCTCTCTCTGGCTCCTCTCTCTCTCCTCTCTCTCTCTCTCTCTCTGGCTCCCTCTCTCTCTCTCTCTCTCTCTCGTTCCCTCTCTCTCGTTCAGTGGGGATTATTACAGACAGGGTTTTTAATTATGTCTTGAATTGTTTCACTTCTTTTTTTAAATAGATGTCAGGTTTGAGGTTTATTTTATTTTGTTCTTGTATCGTTAATGAGAAGAACAGAGTGGTTTTGATGCAAGGAGAAATGGGAAATATAAAATGTTGAATTCCAAATGGCACCCTAGGGCCCATAGTGCTGTGGTCAAAAGTAGTGCACTATAAAGGGAATAGGGTGCCATTTTGGACTCAGGCATTATTACTAGAAGAAGCAGCCTTTACTCATAGCAGAACCAGATAGAATTAAACTAGCCTGCATCAGATAGTAACATTGTTCTACCAATCCAATCCAGTACTGTACATGTATCCTATATGTTCTCGAAGTCGTTATGTGACTTGTTGCATTCAAGCCCAGTTTAATGGCAGCTATACAGTCAGCTAGGTCCCACTGCTGTCTACAGACACAGAGTACCATGTGATACAGGTACACTCACAGGATTGGAGGACTTTCTCATTAAACGGATACTACAGGATTTTGAAAATGAATCCCTATATCTACTTCCCTAGAGTCAGATGAACTCATGGATACCATCTTTTATGTGTAGTTTGAAGGAATTTGCTAACTAGCGTTAGCAAAATTGCTAACAACACTAAACAAAAATATAAAACGCAACATGTAAAGTGTTGGTTTCATGAGCTGAAATAAAAGATCCCAGGAGATGATCCATACGCACAAAAAGCTTATTTCTCTCAAATGTTGTGCACAAATTTGTTTACATCCCTGTTAGTGAATTTTTCTCCTTTGCCAAGATAATCCATCCACCTGACAGGTGTGGCATATCAAGAAGCTGATTAAACCGCATGATCATTACACAGGTGCACCTTGTGCTGGGGACAATAAAAGGCCACTCTAAAATGTGCAGTTTTGTCACAACACAATGCCACAGGTGTCTCAAGTTTTGAAGGAGCGTGCAATTGGCATGCTGACTGCAGGAAGGTCCACCAGAACTATTGCCAAAGAATTGAATGTTCATTTCTCTACCATAAGTCGCCTCCAACGTCGTTTTAGAGAATTTGGCAGTACGTCCAACAGGCCTCACGACTGCAGACCACGTGTATGGTGTCGTATGGGCGAGCGGTTTGCTGATGTAATAAAGCCCTTTCGTGGGGAAAAACTCATTCTGATTTGCTGGGCCTGGCTCCCCACTGGGTGGGCATATGCCCTCCCAGGCCCACCCATGGCTGCACCCCTGCCCAGTCATGTGAAATCCATAGATTAGAGTTCTAATGAATTTATTTCAATTGACTGATTTCCTTATATGAACTCTAATTCAGTAAAATGGTTGAAATTGGTTGCATGTTGCATTTATATTTTGTTCAGTATGTGTATATATGTACAGTGGGGGAAAAAAAGTATTTAGTCAGCCACCAATTGTGCAAGTTCTCCCACTTAAAAAGATGAGAGAGGCTGTAATTTTCATCATAGGTACACGTCAACTATGACAGACAAAATAGGAAAAAAATCCAGAAAATCACATTGTAGGATTTTTAATGACAAGCATATTTGGTAAAAATATTGGTCATAACAAAGTTCTCAAACTTGTAATACCCTTTGGGCAACAAAATTTTTTTGATCCGGTTTTCACACACGTTCTGTATTTGGCCATTCCTCCATGCAGACTCCTCTAGAGCAGTGTTTTTGGGCTGTCGCTGGGCACACGACTTTCAACTCCCTCCAAACGATGTTTCTATGGGGTTTGAGATCTGGAAAACTGGCTAGGCCACTCCAGGGGACCTTGACATTGCTTCTTACGAAGCCACTCCGTCGTTGCCCAGGGTGGTGGTGTTTGGGATCATTGTCCATGCCTGGAAAAGAACCCCAGCCACGTTTCAGTCTTCAATGCCCTTGCTGATTGGAAGAGGTTTTCACTCAAAATCTCACGATACATGGCCCCATTCATTCTTTCCTTTACACGGATCAGTCGTCCTCGTCCCTTTGCAGAAAAACAGCCCCAAAGCATGATGTTTCCACCCCCATGCTTCACAGTAGGTATGGTGTTCTTTGGATGCACCTCAGCATTCTTTGTCCTCCAAACACGACGAGTTGAGATTTTTACCAAAAAGTTCTATTTTGGTTTCATCTGACCATATGACATTCTCCCAATCCTCTTCTGGATCATCCAAATGCACTCTAGCAAACTTCAGACGGGCCTGGACATGTACTGGCTTAAGCAGGGGGACACGTCTGCCACTGCAGGATTTGAGTCCCTGGCGGCGTAGTGTGTTACTGATGGTAGGCTTTGTTACTTTGGTCCCAGCTCTCTGCAGGTCATTCACTAGGTCCCCCCGTGTGGTTCTGGGATTTTTGCTCACCGTTCTTGTGATCATTTTGACCCCACGGGGTGAGATCTTGCGTGGAGCCCCAGATCGAGGGAGATTATCAGTGGTCTTGTATGTCTTCCATTTCCTAATAATTGCTCCCACAGTTGATTTCTTCAAACCAAGCTGCTTACCTATTGCAGATTCAGTCTTCCCAGCCTGGTGCAGGTCTACAATTTTGTTTCTGGTGTCCTTTGACAGCACTTTGGTCTTGGCCATAGTGGAGTTTGGAGTGTGACTGTTTGAGGTTGTGGACAGGTGTCTTTTATACTGATAACAAGTTCAAACAGGTGCCATTAATACAGGTAACGAGTGGAGGACAGAGGAGCCTCTTAAAGAAGAAGTTACAGGTCTGTGAGAGCCAGAAATCTTACTTGTTTGTAGGTGACCAAATACTTATTTTCCACCATAATTTGCAAATAAATTCATAAAAAATCCTACAATATGATTTTCTTGATTTTTTTTTCTTCTCAATTTGTCTGTCATAGTTGACGTGTACCTATGATGAAAATTACAGTCCTCTCTCATCTTTTTAATTGGGAGAACTTGCACAATTGGTGGCTGACTAAATACTTTTTTCCCCCACTGTATGTGTGAAGTACCAGTCAAAAGTTTGGACACAACTACTCTATGAAATAACATATGGAATCATGTAGTAACCAAAACAGTATACAAAAGAGAGCCCTATTTGGTAAAAGACCAAGTCCATATTATGGCAAGAACAGCTCAAATAAGCAAAGAGAAACGACAGTCCATTACTTTAAAACATGAAGGTCAGTCAATATGGAAAATCTCAAGAACTTTGAAAGTTTCTTCAAGTGCAGTTGCAAAAACCATCAAGCACTATGATGAAACTGGCTCTCATGAGGACCGCCACAGGAATGGAAGACCCAGAGTTACCTCTGCTGCAGAGGATAAGTTCATTAGAGTTACCAGCCTCAGAAATTGCAGCCCAAAGAAATGCTTCACAGAGTTCAAGTAACAGACACATCTCAACATCAACTGTTCAGAGGAGACTGTGAGTCAGGCCTTAATGGT